GAGACTCTGTCTCAAAAAAAAAAACAAAAAAAAAACACAAACCCCAAAACAATGTTAAGGATTTGCCTAAAGATAAGGTCCATCTGTATCTGACAAACAGTTTGCTCTGAACCCTCTGTGTAGCCCCTGCCCCCATGCACCAAGGGTACATTAGTAACAATCATTATATTAGTACCTGAGGAAGTCTTTGAACATCACATCACAAAAATTTTGCCAAATAAACTTGAATGGCCCTGATTTAACGAGTCTATTTTCTCTGTTTAGAGTCTAGATAGTCTTCTAAGAGGATAAGCAGTGTGACTAATTATTCAACAGCTCTTCTCTATTTCAAAAAAAGAGATGGAACTTTTTAGGGAAAAAAGAACAATGAAATCTTGAGTTTCATTTTCCTAATTTACATGATGTGATTATAATATCATGAGATGGATTTTAGGAAAACCAAAATTGCTGAGAGGGTACGGTGGGTACACACTTTGATCCTCCCTCTCCCTTCAAGAATATACCAATGGCAACAAAATATAAAAAAGACAAAATTGAAAAGACAGTCATGCTTGAATAAGATATTTGTATCTTAATGGGAAGGAGACACGAAACTGCAAACAGGCTAACACTGCAAGCCTGCTGGGCTCCAGATTCAGAACTAAGAAGCGGTAGCCAAATAACAGTAATAGTTTCCGCAGGGTCCAGGGGACTAAAAGTGCTTCGTGTGAGGTGGGTGATAAGAGCAGGCTCCCTGCTTGAAGCTAAGGGTCAATTAAGCTACACGGTGCTTTAAGAGAGGAAACAAAAACAAACTCCTCTCACTAAAAATAAGCTTGCAAAACTCAAATGCCAAAAAATGAAAACATGTAAAATAAAGAAAGACAACCAACACAATGACAACCTGAATTCACTCAAAATGAAATTAATCATGCTTGTGTAATAAAGCTTCCATAAAAACCCAAAAGGACAGGGTTCAGAGAGCCTCTGGACATACTAAACACTTGGAGGTTACTGGAGGGCGGGGTGCCCAGAGAGGGCATGGAAGCTCTGCGCCCCTTCCTACATACCTTGCCCTATGCATTTTTTCCATCTGGTGTTGGGAACCTTTGTAATAAGCAGGTAAATGTTGAGTGTTTCCCTGAGTTCTGTGAGTTGCTCTAGCAAATTAGTCAAACCACGAGGAGGGGGTTTATAGGAACCTTGATTTGTGGCCAGGTGGTCAGAAGCACAGGTAAAACCACCTGGGGCTTACAATTGGTATCTGAAGTGGGGGGAGGCAGTCTTGTGCAACTGAGCCCTCGACCTGTGGGATCTGACACCATCTCCAGGTAAACAGTAAAAAAAAAATCCCACACATCTGGTATCAGAAGTGACCTGTGTTGTGAGAGTACATATAGGAGAAACAGAGTTTGGTTTTTCCTACATGTCACAGTTCTATTATTAACACTTTAATAAATGTCCTTGTTCATGTATCTTACCTAATTATTTTAGGTGAATTTCTACAAGTGAAATTAATGGATCAAATGGTATCTACTGTTCAGTCTTTTTATACATATTGATGAAATGCTCTATAGAAAAAAATGGCAGTTTCTGAAGAAAAGGTATTGTCTCTAAAAAATGGTATTAGGTTAAGTATCTTTTTACAGGTTTATTGGGAACTGGCATTTTTAAATGTGAAAACTGCTTGTTTATGTGTCTTATACATTTTTCTACTAGAGTGTTCATCTTTTTCTTATTGACTTAACTCTTTGAATTTCAGGATTACTAATTCTGCCACAAATGTCATGAAAACTTTTTTCCTGTTTGTTATCTGTTTTTTAACATTGTTTATGGTTTTTTTCTTCCTATACAAATTTTCTTCTTCCTATGCCATCGAATCTATTTTTTTGTGTGGTACTTGAATTTTGTAATGCTTAAGAATGGGTTTCGCCACTCTGAGATTACAAAAATGACAATCAAGTTTTCTTTTAGTGTTTTTGTGGGGTTTTTTTGTTGTTGTTTTTTTGAGGCAGAGTCTCAGTCTGTCACTGAGGCTAGAGTACAGTGGCGTCATCATAGCTCAC